ATAGGTTGTTGATGTGGAACTCGACGAAGAAGGAACTGAGCGAAGAAGAGCTTGATCCGCCATGTTGGGTATCTATCTCGCCGTATGACTCGCCGTGTCGGAGACCATTAGCGACCTTGGCGCAGGGATTCGCCGGATTTGGAATCAGAATCTAAGTTTGGAAGTGGAGATTTATGTGGTTATGAGAAAATCGATTCGAGTTAATAGAGAGTGAGATTCATGTGATTATGATAGAAGCAATGCACGATAGCCTCTGTCACGTTCCGTCGAGACTTCGTTTTACAGTGGACATGGGATTGTTGGTGCTCAGATTCCGTTGAGATGTGGTTTGGCTTTTGCTCAAAAGTATTCCAAGGAAGAAGATGTGACTTTTACTTTCTATGGTGATGGTGCTGCGAATCAGGGACAGTTGTTTGAGACTTTGAATATGCTGCTCTTTGGGATTTGCCTGCGATTCTTGTTTGCCAGAATAACAAATGTCAGTTGTGTTTTTGTTTTCTTGAGGTTGTGTTAGATCTGATTTCAATGAAGAGTTATATGTGTTTCGTGGATAGTGTTTTGTAGACAGAAGTATAGCTTTGTTGTTTTCTTGAGCTTGTGTTAGATCTGATTTTAATGAAGAGTGATATGTGTTTTGTGGACAGAAGTATAGCTTTGTTGTGTAAGTGTGACAGTCTAAGAAGAAGCATTAGAGGTTGGATAACTTTGTGAATCTGTAAAGTCAATGTGTTGCTATAATAGTACAATTTTCCAATTAACTTTGTCCCTAAGATGAGACCAATTATGAAGTTTAATGTATCCAAAAACGTGGAATGTAACAAGGAACCCATGTAACAACACACTCTCTGCTTTATCGTGGATCAAATGTAGTGGACAATATAACTTTGTACGGTTATGTTGTGTACATGATCATGGCCGTTGGTTCAAAAAATGTCAATCATGACCGCACATCTTCATTAAAGAAGAAAGAATCAAACGGCCATAAACAATCAATCTTTATTTCAAAACTTACAATCTCGACCGTCCATTTTCATTAAACGAAAAGCAAATCGAATGGGCGGAAACAATTTCAGATCTTATAATCTGAACTGCACATTTTCATTAAACCATCCAGCAAATCGAACGGCCAGGAAACACTCCTTCCTTTTTCAGATCTTTTAACACAACCGCATATCCTCATTAAAAAAAAAATCAAACCAACGGACAAGATGAAGCAGTGAAAAAAACGTTGATTGGTGTTATTTTAGTCTAGTACTAAATATTGTAAAATAAAAAAGAAGGGTAAGTGTGCCCATAAAATAAAGTGTCCCATTTGAAAGAAAGTTCAGTGTCCGCCAATGTAATTGTTTCTTCATACATATGTAGTCTAGTACTAAATATTTCGCTTCTTCGAGAACATTCGACAAAAAAACTACCAAGTAGTATATTTTCTTTTCTATTCAAGAATCAAGATCGATAAATATTATCACACTCGAATAGGTTTCTAGGTTTTTTTACTACTGACAAATGGACTTTACTTTATTTTAATTGGGATTATTGGTTAAGCAAGAGGTCTAAAATAACTAGAACCAAACTTTCATTTCAGTAATAAAGTTACTAGGAATTACATTGAAAATTGCTAGGAATTACAATGAAAATTGGTTATTGAAATGAAAGTTTGGTTCCGGTTTTTTGGACCTCTTGCTTAACCAATAATTCCATTTTGGATCCACTAGACCATAGACTATTTCAGAATCAGCCACAATTACCTTGTCGTCATCAAACTTATGCCATGTCTTTATGGCTGACCTCACATAGGAGGAGTAATGACCACAAGCTAATGATGATCCATGATGCTCCACAATGGCATAGATACAATATTTTGTAGCAACCTGAAGCAAGAAGACATGAAGTGTGCGATCTTAGATAACATGCTAATTTCGATCTTAGACATGAAATGTTTCAGTAACATATTGGCAAGCACAACAACGAAGCTGGAAGAAGAACAAGCACACATGTTTCCTTGAATCAACTGCTATAATCCCCATTTTTCCTGCATCCGTCTTCTCGTAGCCTCCTTGGAAACAAAACAACCTCATTATTATCTATACAAACTTAATTAAAAACAATGCACCCACTCATTTAATGTATTTGGTATTAAAATACATCCAATTTTTATGAGAAAGAAATGTGTACAGACTATGCACCCACTCATTCTTTTCTTTGTTTGTTTGCCAATAGATTGAACTTGATTTTTTTGTCTTGATGAAGTAATTCACTTGTTTCGTATGCCAAGTTTGACTTTCTTATCATATGTAACTTTTGGTGATGAACAATGAATAATTCCAACTTCTTCATCATCCTCACGGACCCAATCAACTATTTGATGCAGAGCAAACACATGATCATAATCCCTACAAATGAAATTGTCTAAAAATAAATGGTTTCCAAAATGTTAAGAGAACAATCAATACTTAGCTTTCTAAACTTTTGGACTTTTGAAACTTGCTTAAGACAAAACAACGCGATGATCATAAACTCGAGAAATCCTTGTCTTACCGTACCTTTAGATTGCCATGTTACCGACCAAGAATGTTCAAATTGTGAAAACAAATAAACCAGTTTCTTGAGC